TAAATTCTGCAAGTAATTATGGATCTCTCCGTGCGCAACTCACTGTGTCACAAGATTGAGAAGCGTTTGTTACAGAACGCTCAGACCGACACCCCGTCGGCGCGTGCCGCTGGGGGGGGGGGGGGGGGTAAACCACCACCTGCTCCAAACTTCAACAGCAGAAAGCAATGCTTCCTCCTCGGCTCAGACGTCCTCTCTGTGTCTCTCTCCTCCTGTCTCTTTTTGTCTAGCGTTCTCTCTCTCCCCCGCTGTGCGTAATAGTCCCGTGTTTGTTGTGCTGCAGTTCTTTGTAGGATTACACTTGACGTTAGTTCGTTCGTTTGTTCCTTGGTTCGCTACCGCCACCTGCCTAAGTATCGTGTAAGAGCGCCACCCCTCCTCCCCCTCCTCCCCTCTTTGCCTTCGAAATCCCTGTCCTCTTTTGTTCAAATCCGCGCCGGAGCGCGCCTGCAGTCGAGGAGCTCGCCGTGAATCACGAGGACACATCCCTCCCCTCCCTACTCTTTTAGCGTCGCAAGTTTAAGATGGGACAAGTTGCTGTGCGAAAAACTTTGCCAAGTTTTAAAGGGCTGAGCCGTTCGATTTTTTTCTTTTAGCCGCAGGAGCCTGGCGTCTTTGGTCGCTTCGCTCCAGTCCTGTATAGCCTGCAGTGCGCCCCCTCCCCTACCCTACCTTACACACACAATCACACGCACGGCAGCCACAACAACAAACTGTGCACTGGGGCGAGGAAGACGCTCGGTTCGTTCGGAAGGTTTTGTTTGTTGCGCAACGTCGATTCGTTTTGTCGCTCTGTGTTTTCTCTTTATTTTATCAAGCAGCTGTTGCGCGCGCCGACTCGCTTTTTGTGGACTGTGTGTTGCTATAATGGCCTCTGTTGCAGGTGATCCTGGTGCCGCACTCGCACAACGACCCCGGCTGGCTGCTGACCTACGAGGGCTACTACCACTTCAAGACGCGCAACATCCTCAACAACATGGTGTCCAAGCTCCAGGCGCTGCCTAACATGACCTTCATCTGGACCGAGGTCTCCTTCTTCTCGCAGTGGTGGGAGAGGTGAGTAGTAACACAATCATTCTTCTGCAGAGTAGCCCGAGGAGTAGCCCTTGAGCACAACGAAAAGTTGAAGGTGACGAACCTATTAGTTCTACAGTTATAAGCGGCAAACTTTTTAGCTCTACTCTTATAATACGTGGCAAACGTTTCAGTTCTACCGTTAACGTGTAGAACAAAAGTTCGCCACTAAAGAAGTGGCAAACTGTTCTATTCTTAGGATGTCTGCCGGTACCTTCCGTTCAATCGTTGACGAGCGACAGCCGGTCGCGCTACCGTCTTGCTCCTCCTACGCCTGTCGGCTCGTGTCTGGCGCGGGCCGCTCCGTCTGCTCGGTACGCTCCGTCTCGGTACGCGGCGGTCCGACGGTCGCCTAATGCAGCACGAGATTAGCTGACGCGGCTGGTTAATGTCCGCAGTAAAACACTCAGTCACGCCCTTAATCTTACGCCATCTCTCATGCATTTCCCAAGTCGTGTGTTTTCCTCCTGCTCTGCCCCTCCTATCCTCCGCATCCGACCGGGTGTGTTTTTGTTATTTTCCTCCCCGTCCTCTGCTGCTGCCAGCCGCGCCGCTGCCTCCGCGTCTAGGACGCTAGATAATGCAGGCGCTGCTGCCGAGGCTCGGCCGGCTCACACGGCGCCTGGCGTGCGGCGCTAGGCAGGCCCGCAGCGCGCCGCTGTCCCGCCGCTGCCTACCGCCGCGGCGCTCCCCTCCCGGCCGCCCAGCCCAGCCCAGCCGCTTATTGCAGGCAGATTGCTTGGCGTGACAGCCTGCTTGTTGTGGCCCCGCCCCGCCCCGCCCCGCGCCCTCACGACGTGGCTCGCCTAGAGTTTCATATC